TTTGCCAGAAGCTTTAAAATGGGTCTGTGTACAAAGCGCAATTTTTTATCTTTATTCGACTATTTAAAATCTAAACTTAAGACATAACAAAATCAGTAAACAAAATATATTTTTGTTGTTTGTTATTTGTAATTTTGTCTAAACCCCTCTTATTTTACAAATAAAGAGATGCCACATGCTTTATATTACTTAAATTACAGAAAGATGGCCCCCTACTATAGTTTCCGCGTTAGTCGCCATATTTGAATTTGAATGTTATAAATTTGTAAACAGGCTTTTTGCCGGAATTTACGAGGGAGAGAATTCCGCGGAGTTTACTCGAAAACGCGCAACTTTTATTCAAGGATTTCATTTTAGTAAGGAATTTGATGGGGTACAGAGAGCCTTTTAATGAATGATTATTGATTATCAAAATTTAAAAAGATTCTACTTAAAGATGTTTCGCTTTTTTAAATGGCGGATGAAAATGAAACCCTGTAAATTTCAGTTGTTGATCTCGCCTGATCTTGCAAATTACCAGCTTGTATAAACCCATACATAGTATGCTAATTCACTAACATACAAACATACAAACTTACAAACAGGAAATATGTCAAACAATGTTAACAACAACATAAAAACTATCAACTCCATGCGTTAGGAATCTTAAAAATCGAGAAAAAAAAACGAAAGCAGAAATCTGTGTTTGTTTGGGTGTTATTTTAAATGTCCACTCATAAACTAAGGACCGATTAGCCTCAAATTTGATTGGGAATTCACAGTGGAAGGTTCTTATAGACTGGTTTAAAAATTGTAAGTTGATTGGTTTGACTTTTAATTGGAAAGCGCCAGTCAAAGCTGGGTTCCCAAGCTGGTTTCCTGATATATACTTTGCTCGTCTGTCTGCTTGTTTATTTGTAACCGATAAACGTCACGTGACCCTAGGGACGGTTAATCGATGTACAGAACGGCCCAACTTTTCTCTAAAAATTTTGTATTTTTGTAAAATGCTGAAAATCCAGGAAAAAACATTATTCAATCCGCGAGCTTTTTTGTTCTTGGTTTATATTGAAAAATAGAAGATGCTCATCATGAACAGAAGTTGAAATAGAAGATGAGGGTGTATAATCTTTTTAAAAATAAATTCACAATTTTATCAAACATTCGGGAAACTTCGTTTTTATTTGTTGTGAAAGTCTGGGTAAACCCATTATGATATGGATCACCCTGTATACATAAATTTATTTACAGGGTGTCCCANGATGGTTGGATGGTTGGATGGTTGGATGGTTGGATGGTTGGATGGTTGGATGGTTGGATGGTTGGATGGTTGGATGGTTGGATGGTTGGATGGTTGGATGGTTGGATGGTTGGATGGTTGGATGGTTGGATGGTTGGATGGTTGGATGGTTGGATGGTTGGATGGTTGGATGGTTGGATGGTTGGATGGTTGGATGGTTGGATGGTTGGATGGTTGGATGGTTGGATGGTTGGATGGTTGGATGGTTGGATGGTTGGATGGTTGGATGGTTGGATGGTTGGATGGTTGGATGGTTGGATGGTTGGATGGTTGGATGGTTGGATGGTTGGATGGTTGGATGGTTGGATGGTTGGATGGTTGGATGGTTGGATGGTTGGATGGTTGGATGGTTGGATGGTTGGATGGTTGGATGGTTGGATGGTTGGATGGTTGGATGGTTGGATGGTTGGATGGTTGGATATATGGATGGTTCAAATCTAAGTATTTGAATAAAATGAAAGCTAAACGTTTAAAAAGCCCTGAGCTGAAAACTTTAGAATGAGACATCCGTAATCACCATCGCTTGATCTGATTATCCAATGTACAAGTCACTTTTGATTTTCTTCTTAATCCTCTTTTTGTATATCCCTACTGTATAAAAGTTACGTTTGATAACAATTACAGATACAATGCTATATCGATTGAACTAATATCCGATTGGATTAAAGTCAGCTGTTCACAAGCCGGTTTTTAGAGCATTTAAACAAATATAAATTTAATCATGTTAACATAAAATTATTAAACGTTAGTCTTAATAAACATTAATCTAAAATTTACGTTCGTTCAATCGATCTTTAGTTCAATTAATATGACACCATTAACACCAGAAATCAAAACAAGTTTTTCAAAAGTTAAAGAGTACAATCTTTACATGACACGCTGATTGGTTAAATTTTAACTTCTTTTTTGGATTTCGAATAAGTTTTAAAATAATCTTTGGGTTTAGTAAAACCAAGAGTTTAAGAATTAATCTTGATATCCACCATTCTATAGTTTTCAGCTCAGAAGCTTTTTTTCTTTATTCTTCTTAGTATTGTATCCATTTTCTCACTTTTCCATCTTTTCTTATGATCTATATATATGCAATAGCTGTAATCTATATAACATATTTCTAGCTGTATATGAAGCTGTTATATATATATCAATCTGTAATCTATACATCTAGCTGTAATCTATATATCAATCTGTAATCTATATATCTAGCTGTAATATATACATATATACAGTATGCGTAGTTATAATGGAACTTTTTTGAAGAGGAGACCACTATAAACTTGTTTAAGGTTTCTAAGCTCAAAAATGTGGCAAAAGGAAATTTTTTTTATTGACAGACTTTCGCACAAAATCAGCGCCTGACCTTATGTAATAAGGTTTAAAACTTGCTGAAATCTTGTTGACCAAAGAAAAGGATTATTTTCGCTAAAATAATCCAATGAAAAGTCCAAATATTCTCGACGCCAGCGGTTTATTAAGCCTGTAGATAAAATTCGAGGTAAATAGTGAACCAAAAGGACAAAATATCCGGTCTCACTTATGGTCCTAGCCGCAGTGGAGTGGGTGTAAGAAACCTACTCTGCATTTTGGTTGAAACGAGGAAACCGCTTATGTCTTGGCTTAAGATAATGCTCTTCTTCTTGTTGAGGTTGAAGAATGGTAAATTTTATGAAATATATTTACTCTATACTACCAACCATGGAATATAAGTAAACCCAGTTTTATATGGAATCTATCTATCTATCTATCTGTCTATCTATCTATCTATATATCTATCTATCTATCTATCTATCTATCTATCTATCTATCTATCTATCTATCTATCTATCTATCTATTTGACTGGGGGTGTCTCTCAACTCAAGTGTCCCTTGAAATGTTAGACTGATTAATCGACTTTTTACGATCAAGAGTTCATTTTCAAAATTCTTGAGCTAAGAAAGTTTCAATATTAAAGTACAGTGTACACATGCAGGTTTCCTCCAAATATTGTTATTTAGAAAAACACTCGTCCTGGGGCGTAGAAATTTTCAAAAAGCAGTTCCTTCAAAAAAATTATCTTAAATTTTTTTCTTTCTTTTTTAAAATATCCTTTAATGTTTTTAATCGTGTTTCTTTTTTTTTCTTGGAGACACTTTTTTGTTAGGGTCTCTTTTGAGTCAAATTTGTCCTCTGAATAACAATTAGAGTAAATTTGGTGCCAAAAATGAGCCCTCTAATGGTTGTAAATTGGTCGAAATCTGGCTTTTACATCAGCCGCGGATGGATAGATAGAAGGATAGATAAATACATAGATAGTTAGACATATAGATAGATAGATAGATAGGTGACAAGCTAGTTAGATAGATAAGTACTTACATATACAAAGATAGATAAAGATTAAAATGTAGACCGATAGATAAAATTAGTAAAATAAAATGAATAAATAATTAAATGAGAAATTGTAAAAGAAAGAAAATTCAAAGATTTAAGTTATATCAACATTGTTTTACATTTTTTTGTTTTTGTTTTCTGAATTGCCTGTATTTAATCTCAGTATGAGAACAAATACAAAAAAAGAGAAGAAAAAAAACGTTTTTTTTGTTAAAACTGGAGCTTTAAAACTAATAGTTTAAGTTTCCGAGGCTAGTAAAAAAAGTTTGTTGAATGGGTGGTATATAATTAAATAAAGTCTGTGTGTGGGGTCGTCCGTATAAATACGAAGGTAGAGGGAGCTGGAAAATGATGTTTTTATGATAATAGGTGTCATTCAATGGTGGAGTTCGGTGGGTATTGAGTCTTTAAGTCATTATCTTCATCTAACTTGGGGCTAAAGTTTCCGTCAAGGATTGAATAAAAATGGAAGACAGAAAGAAATGTTTAACTCAAAAATATTAACAGTTTTTCATGGAAGAAAATCAAAGCAAAACTTTCCTGTAGACAAGTAGACAAGTAGACAAGCAGACAACTAGACAAGTAGACAAGTAGACAAGAAGACAAGTAGACAAGTAGACAAGTAGACAAGTAGACAAGTAGACAAGTAGACAAGTAGACAAGTAGACAAATAGACAAGTGGACACGTAGGCAAGTAGACAAGTAAACAAGTAGAAAAGTAGACAAGTAGACAAGTAGACAAGTAGACAAGTAGACAAGTAGACAAGTATACAAGTAGACAAGTAGACAAGTAGACAAGTAGACAAGTAGACAAGTAGACAGGTAGACAGGTAGACAAGTTGACAAGTAGACAAGTATGCAAGTAGACAAGTAGACAAGTAGACAAGTTGACAAGTAGACAGGTAGACAAGTTAACAAGTAGACAAGTAAACAAGTAGATAAATAGACAAGTATACAAACAGATGTAAAAATAGATAGACAGCTATCAGGTCAAACAGACGTAAAAATAAACAGACAGACAGACACATGAGACCACCCGCAGGTCTGTTGGTCTTGATGTTATATTTACAGAATTCCTTGAATTTAAATTCTAGGAAACTTTTAGAATGTATTTATATTTAGCCAGATACAGATTGCAAACCTGGGGGCATCTATATATCTATATATACATCTGTCTATTAATCTATCTATCTATTTTTCTTCCTTTTCTTATCCGTTAAAATATATTAAATTACTTACAATAATTGTATAATCTATTCTGATCATTAACAATGTTTTCATACGTTTTGTAAAATAAATCACTAGTATGCTCTATTATTGCAACTATAAAAATATTGCTTGGGCGTGAAATCTAAATTATAGAACCTAAAGCAAGCACAAATTCGTACTCCATAAATTCAAAATTTTTCTTGAATATAGATTGAAAATAAAGACATTAATAAATAATAAACCAACATCAAATACAGGAAATTATTCTTTATTATCGTCTTCCTTTATATGTCTAACTCTCTCAAGTGTAACCTACCATAATCAGTCGTTGTTGAACAATCTGTAGTTGTGATATAAGTTGCTGTTGTTGTAGTTGTAGCTGTTGTAAAGCAGGAGATTGTTTACATCTATCCCCAGCCTGGAGAAGATGGGTCTGCTGAACAAAATTAACCTAGAAAATAAATATCTTTATTAAAAAGTTGTAATTGCTGTTTCTTTGTTTGTATGTCCGATCATAACTCATGAACCCCTTGTTTAAAATTTTGATGGCACTTCTGTATGCCAAGTCCATTAGCGCCTGATCCAATCAGGGTTCAGTCATGTGTTTGTTTTCTATTCTGAACCAATAGAAATAGCATAGCGGTAACATCTATCTTTCTATCTATCTCATTATCCAATCAGAATTATGAATCCTTCAATCGGAGCTATTAATAAATTCTTCTTCTGAAACTATAGTGATGGAGGAACTCGGTTTAACCATAGGAATGTTTATAAAACATCCGAGGATCCAAATCTTTGCCACAAATTCAAATTTTCGAATCACTATATCCTTTCAACCTGATGGTGTAAACCTTTGATATTTCAAACTTAGATTATTTGCACCAACAGAATTCATAGCGTATGACATTGGGTTGAAAAGATATAGGGATAAGGATTTGTGGCAAAGACTCAATTAATTTTACGTTAGATGAAATTCTTGCATGTAATCAATCACATCTCAATTCTTATCAAAGAGAATAATGTTTTAAATTTCTACTATGAGATAATGTGACCCCCAAAAAAACTTGAAAAAAATCTTGAGGCATAAAACAAAAAATGGAAGAGTGTATCTATATTTATAAAGTAGTAATCTCTGTTTGTAGGCTTAAAAGTTCTTAGTTAACTAGGTTGACTCTTGCGAAGAAACCTTTATTTCAAGGCATGAGCTTGGTTCCCATGCTAGTTTTAACGTAAATTTTAACTCCCAAAATCCAAGGTTTTAATCCTATTTTTCCTAAAGTTAAGAAAAATATTCTTAATTTTGAATTCTAATATTTGAATTCTTAAAATCAAATTAATATTCTAGAATTAGTTGCACAGCGGCGCGGCGACTAAATTTCAATTTTAATTTTGAATATTTACGATGAATGACCTTTTCTATAGAGCAGTAATAATAATACTTTATTACCTGTAGCTGTTCTTGAAGCTGCGGTACTAGCTGCTCCAGCTGCTTTCTCCCTGATTCTGGCAGCTAAAATAAAAAGTTTTGAGATTTGATTAAAACATTTTTTATTTAAACCAATCAAGCGTGCTTCTCATGAAGACCTGTGAGTTTTAATTTCTTTGTTTGAAAAACGAAACGATTGTTTTTTAACCGATCTTCTTAAAAAGTAAAAATAAGATCGTAATACTTAGTTTTAGCAATTTATTCCTTTTTTTAAACGAAGCTTCGTTATTTTCTAAGATACAAAAGTTAAGGAAAAATTAGAGTTTTTCTGTGGAAACCCACCCCTACCTGTGATTGATGAATGAACTGCTGTATTTGGGCCGGATTCAGGCCGAATGGGTTTTGAAGAAGTTGCTGCATTTGATGCAGGCCTGGAGGAAGTAAAGGCAGTTGCAAGGGAGGACTGCACTTCCCGTTTTCACTTCCACTTGAAAATTATAAAACTTTTTTATTTTTTATTTATTATTTACCTTTCAATTTAAAAACTTGAAGATAAACTCGTAAATCTGTTTTATGTCTACTTTCTTTTTTTGGCGTACTGTTTGCGTTTAAAATGGCGGGAAGATATTTTTACCTTTCGTCCTTGTCCTTGCAGTCACCATTTTTCAGCCTGTTCATGAATCCAGCCTGAAGCCAATCAATTAATAAATAAATTTGTTTTGCAAAGTTTCCGTAAAAACTTTATTTTGTTTCGTTTCATTGCAAATTGAAAATAAATTTTCCATTCTATTTCTACAGTTTAGGATTTAATTCAAAACATTTAAACATTGTTCCAAGTTTGAGCAAATACAAATGTCAACCATCAATATAAATTAAGATTAAAGCCACAATATTTGGCTTGAAATTGCTGCAGATTGGTCCAAACCAACAGCGCAGAGGCATTATTAATATTTATCTCTATTCTATAATATGAACAGAAATGTCAAAATATTTTCAAAATCTTACTAATCAATGTAACTCACAAGAATATATCATCAAATGCAAATACCAAAGAGTTTAGAAGAAAAAGACGTTCACAGAAATTTTTTAAAAATTTTGATTTAGAAAAATGTTTAATTAAACCCCCTGTAGTTGTAATTGATCTAGAAGTATGTTTAATAAACCACCCTGTATATGATCTAGAAGTATATTTAATAAACCACCCTGTAGATGATCTAGAAGTATGTTTAATAAACCACCCTGTATATGATCTAGAAGTATGTTTAATAAACCACCCTTTAGATGATCTAGAAGTATGTTTAATAAACCACCCTGTA